TTGCACAGTAATCTTATAAATGTGGGTTTATGTATTACTCAACTCTGCGGACACATTGTTCACATTTTATACTTGTTTGAACAATTCCCTTTTGCGTTTTTCGAACCAGCGATCATCTCTCCTATGTATACGTGTTCTTATTCATCCAAAGCACGTGTTATATGCGATTTAACCAAATGGTCTGCAGGGGGAAATGCACATATATTCAAGCATCACTGCTCATAGTTTTATCGGTCGGAAGAACATTCTAATTTATTAATGCAGTTGCTTAAGCACATGGATATCAACGTGATACGTACTCTTATTTTCGATTTTTCTCGAATTTTCCGTATTTTTAAAATTTTATAATACATGTAATGCATGTATAACAAATTTTTATGATACTTTTTCCATAGTTTGACATATAAATTTTATGAAACATGAAACTGTCCGCAATTTTGTTCATTTATATTATTTGAAAACCATGTATTATGAGGAATTTAGATTATCACAATTAAAAAAAAATAAATAAATAAAAAGGGTTTTACATTCGATCTTAATTTTAATGAATGAAGAAACTTTATAAAATAGATAGATTGCAACACTTTTTATCTATGGCTAACAGATAAATGAATTTTTATTTAAAGTAAAAAAGCTTTGTTTAATAAGGCAAGAAGGTATAACTAATAAATATATAGTAAAACATATTTACAATTCAATATTTGAAAAAAGAAATATAATTTGTTATATAAACAATTAACGGAGCGCAGTGTCTTCAAGATTTAACAGTAATCTCAATGATGAAAAAAGAAATCAGCAGTGAATCTTTCAGAAGCACGGGCATCAGGATTCTCCAAATATCCCTCTATGAATTTAGTCACAAAAAATGTCGATGCTTCTACAGTATCCCCTGTACACTCGTTTGCCTGGCAATAAACACTACAGGGGTTCTTGACAATGAGTGGAACCTGTCATTGCGCAGGGGGTTTACGATCCAGCATTATGCAGCTTTTCAATGTGTCGAAGGGACTGAAATGTATGTATAGATAAGACATAGAAGAAGAGGGAAAGATATTTATAAATAAAGATATTAATTTGTAAAGATCTTAAAATAAAAGATACAAGTTTATACTTTTCTTATGTTTTTAGTAGTAATCCATTATTTTAATAACATTATTATGAATAAAATGTGAGTCTCAAAAATACAATTATTATTATACTTTTTATATATTTTTAACCAACAAAAAGATTTTTGTAAAATAAAAATAAAATATTAAACTGTAATTAAATTAGACAATGCGTATATATTAAGTGTATTAAATAAGACAAAGATAAATTGTACAAATCATTGACAAACATTTTTACAGTTTTTTTAATAGCATTCGTTGAACTTTTATAATAATAGTTGAACTTTATAGTCAAAATATATTTTTTAGTAAAATTGAATCAAATTTGCATTCTCTACTATTCTAAATCTTTTTCATTTATTTTTTAATATCATATAGACATTTTTCAGTAATATACAAGCTTAATTTATAAAAATTTTACTCGTGTAAATGGAAAATGAGCAAATATAATTTTATTTTCTATTTCACCGCACAATATGACAGTTGAGAAAAATCATAATTTTTATTGGTGTTATCAATAGCTTGTATTGATATTTAGAAAATATTATATATTTAGATTAAGAAATTTGAATTTAGTAACAATAATCATGTTTAAAAATTAATAAAATTATCTTAAATATTTTCATTTAAACTATTTTTAAATAACATGCATATTCTCATTCAATTTTTTCTGTCACACCAGTTGCTTATTACATTAAATTTCCATATTGTATTTTATAGAAAACTCAATCTGTCTTCAAATTACACCAAATTTTTTCATGTTTTTTACATTATTAGATTTATTAATTCAAATTTACAGGCAAATTTTAAAGTCAAATTTTAAAAGATTCCTAAAATATGAAAAAGGTCTAAATTTATAAAATACAATTAATTTCATATTCTCAACCTATGTATACTATATAACATATATTACTAATAATATTCAGATAAGTCTTTGTGACTAAATTGATCTCAAAGACTTCAAGACTCAAAGATACATTAAAATTTTTAATAAAAAATAGGAAATTAAAATAGTTACATCTCTTTTATATTATTACAGGAATATTATATTTGAAATATTATATCAATATAATTTTTATACAATGTATAAATAATTTTTATACAATATGTATACAATTAATATTATTATATTATTATAAACTTCTTCAATTAAACCAATATAATAACTACTTGGAAATAGAATTTTTTATATTAGTCATGCAGCAAAGAAGTTTACAAATTTTACACTATAATATCATAAAAATTAAAAAAGATATTGCATATTTTAGATTAATAATTGACAAAAATGATATCATGTTAATAATTTAGATCCCAATTTATAGTTTTGTTAGTCTACATGAAGGTTTTATAACAAGAAATAAAATATAGAACAATTACTTATGTAAGTTTAATAAGTAATTTATAGGATAGTTAAAATTGTTTAAGATTATTAAAATTGGAACAAAGGGTTGAGAAAATCTACGATAGTATTTTTATAATACATATAGAATAATATTAATTTAGCATAATATTAACTATAATACGATATTATTGAGCTATTTAAAAAATGAAATAAAAGAAAACTATATATAGTAAAGAAAAATATAAAACGAAACTAGAAAATAATAAAAAGGAATAAAAAAGTTGAAGAAATTGAAGGATTAATGAATACATCATCTTCTGTATTACATTAATCTGGACTCCAGTAAGTATATCTTTGTTCTACATTGAAAAGATAGTAAACAAAATAAAATCATATATAATAGTATAAATAATAAAAAATTAACAATATATAATAAATATTTATATAATATACAATATAACTATATAATATAATAAACATTAAATAAAGACTCAAAATATGAAGATGTACACGAAAAATAGAAAAAAAACAATAGAATATATGAAACCACCGCTATTAAATAAATTTAAAAAGTAGGGAGAGAGAGAGAGAGAAAGACAGACAGACAGAGAGAGAGAGACAGACAGACAGAGAGAGAAGTTACGAATATAATGATAATTATGAAAATAAAAAATTGTTGAATATTACAGAAAAAGAATAAAAATAGGTCTACAATATGATTGATAAAACATAAAATATAAGAAAATATAAAAAGAAAAGAATACAAAAAGGAAAGACGGAAGGCTCAATAAGAAAAAGATAACAAAAATAATAATCGGAAAGCTTAAGAAAATATGGTGAAACCTTTGGTTTTTTTTATTCATTTCACTCAACATTGGAAGGGCATCGACAGGGCGCTCATCGTCTGAACTTGCTTTTATCTCTATATCAATTAAATAAGGTATTAAATGCAAGTATTTAAGATCAAGATAAATTATTTACCACCTAGTGTACGTCTGTGGAATAAGGATGTATGACTTTGTAGAAAAAAGTCGACGAATACATTCTGCTATTATACGTCAGATAAAAAACTTTGATTTTTGAAAATTAATAAACTACTAGCATACTAATAAATTAAATCAAAGGTCAAAACGCGCACAAAAAATTGAATAAGGTAGAAAACATAATTTAAAATACAAAATTCTTAAATACAAAATTTATGAAATAAACGTGTTTTCTGTCGATTATTAAAAATAAAAATCATTTTTCTACGTTTAATATTATTAAATATGTTTTTATTAAATAGGTGCATGTAATATTTGTTTCATAATATTTAATATTTCTGATAACGTATAATGAATATAATGTATAAATTATTGTAATAAAATATCGCGAGAAACATAATTTACGTAGAAATATTAAGATATACAAAATAGAAAAAAATGGTAAAAATTTTCATTTTTCAAAAAAATTAGAAAAATTATAAATACATTTAAATTTTCTAAGTACTCGAATATTTACACTGAAAATTTATGTTAATGGTTAAATTGGTATGTTTACAATATAAAAATTCTTACAATGCATATTATTATACAGTACACAGCTTTTCCTAAATGTAAAATATTCTACATTTAGAAAGAAGACTTACAATTTCATACAATATATATTTATATAAATTTTTAAACAAGAAAATGATTATTGTTGTAAATTCATTTTATAACGTATATTGATATATTATATTAAAACATAATTAAGAAGAAAATATTATTAATCCAAATATTGTTCAAAAACTAATTAAAATTTCTTACTTTTTTAGAATTTTTATTTCATTTTAAAGGTTATATCTTAATAATATTAACAATTTTTTAGTAATTAGTATATGAAAAATAATAATTGAAGACAAAAATGTACGTTACAATAAAAAGAATTACATTTTTTGAGAATTTTTTATTTTAATATAAAGATTTTTTATAAATAATGTAAAAAATAGTACCATTCATTTTTTAAAGTATAGGTTTATAATGGTATTCATATTAAATTAAAAGTAATGTTACTTTTATGAGACCTATGGCTTTGTATTCAACCGTAAATATAACTAAAACTATATCATGAAATATTTTTTTTTAACTTTTGATAATGTATTTTAGAGTACCTTAAAGTAATTGTATTTAAAATGTCAAAAAATCTGAAAGTCTATGCTACTCGTAAATATATTATATATAATATTTAATTTATTTCCAATAAAAACATTAGTGTCCAAAATTTATTTTGTATCGTAACTTTTTCATTTACGATAAGCAATGAAGTAGGCAAAAGTAGAAAAAAATTTTGAGAGTGTAAATTTTCTCTCCACAAAAGTCAGTTTTTCCATTTCATGAGAATTTTCACCCTTCCTAAGAAAACCATCCCTAAAAGTCGTTGAGGAGCGTTCTCGGTACTCGTTCACGCCCCAAGTTGGTGTGGGCGGTCCTCAAGTAGCCAATACGCGCTTTAGTAAGGGTGCATTGTTCAGCCAATAGGCATTCGATATCTCCCGCCCTTATCATCGTCAATATTGAAGTTGCGCCACCACGTGCCACGAAAAACTCAACAGTGCAGTCGTGAGAGCGTTTCCTCTGTGAACTGCTCTTCTCAAATTTGTGGATATAGGATGCAACGAAAATAGTGCAAGAGATACAATAAACGGAATGTAGTCCGAGCTCGAACTGTATCCAAATTCAAGATGATCGGCTGTGAATTTAATTTCCATTCCCGGCCAGAAATATTAACGCCACCACAAAGTAGCCCGGAATCATTCGTCCCAGCTTCTGTTCAAAAGGCCATGCACACACTAGAGCATTCAGCAATGGAACTAGGCCTTTCAGCCAATGTCCCGAATATTATTTACTGTAAGTGTGGTTATCAACGTTGACAAATTGTGGGTTACAACAAGTCTTTACGAATTCGTCTTCATGAATTACAAAATCGGTTCGAGCCTTATTACATCAAGAATTAAACTACATCTATAGTATCACTAATCTTTCTCAAAATTTTTTCAATTATTTCTGGATATTATACTTTATTTCTAAATTATTATTATTTTATGTTACCTTTAAAGATAATTTTAGTTTTTGTGTCAAAATACTTTACATAAGTATTAAAAAGATAGTTCTATTAATAAGATATCTCATAATAATTGATCTGATTCAAAATTTTATATTTAATTATGAAAAGATCAATTACTAATGTCATTTAATTATTTATTATAATTAGAAACATCATATCAAAGTGTATCATTACTTTATAATCAGACACGGTTATTATTAATTCACTTTTTATTAAAACTTCTATAAATATAAGTTTTTATTGAAATTCAATATATTTAATTATATGAATCTATTTCTACTATATATAATTCTTACATTTTACATGAATTTATTATTCTTAAGATAATACATTTTAATTATTTCTAAAATTTATATAAAATATTCATTCACGTTATGATTTATTTTACCTTACATATAAAATGATTTATTATTGCGTTTGAATGCAATATAAAAAATTTATTTTAAATTAAAGGTTAAATTGATATAATAGTAATTTCATTAAAAAACTACAAATGCTATTCATTCATTCTTTTAAAACAATAAAAACACTTATATATATATATATATATATACAATTTGGTTGGTTTTTTAATAGTTATTCTAACCTTGTCAAATATAACTTTATAATATATCATACAGTATAGATTAAAGAATTAAATATGTAAATTATTAAATGAAAATTAAAACAATAAATTATTAAATTGGTAAAAATTATAATTAATTTATAATTAATTTAAATAAAGTCAAAATTGTTTAATTTTAAAAAAAATTTATTTCATTTCTAATGGTAATTGTTATAATGATAATAATTTATATAAATATTTTTGTAATTTTTATATTCTTATAACAATCTCATAATTACTTTATATATCCATTATTGATTATAAATTAAAATTTATATTTAATAATTTAATTAATTTTACTTAATTATAAATTATACTTTATTTTATATAATTCGGATTATTACATGATAATAGTATTGAGGGAATATTTTAAATATGCAGAAAATAACTACTTTTTATAACTATATTGTATGAAAAAAATTTGTACTCTAATTAAATAAATTTGATACTTTATTATTTATTTATAAATTTATTTAATTTAAACAAAAAGTTTAAATGTTGATTATTTATAATAAGCATATTATCCAATAATTATAAATAAAAAATTAAAATAATCAATTGTTACACACAAGTAGATTCTAAGAATCATAAGTGAAATTTTGATTAAAATTACGAATATAAACAAAATTCTATGATACATTTGACATTAAATTTTGAAATAATGCAAAGTAATACGAAATTTGCATTTACAAATATTATATGAGTTTACAAAAGAAATTCCTATAAAATAATGAAGTTTATTCAATTTTACAATATTTAATGAAAAACGGCACTATATATATCGTATACTTTGAACTTTCATTATTAAATTATTATTATTTATTTATATTATATTATTATTAAAATACTGTAATTAATTAATAGTATTATCAAAGAATATTATCAAATAATTAATGATATTATACCCATTACACCCATTATAATTTTGAATTTTTTTCATCATTAAAAAGTTTTACATTATTTAGAATATCTTTAACAGTAATTTTATAAATCACTAATTAATTTATATTATAATATACTGTCATTTGAAATCTCTTGCTTAAAAGTAAAACCAATGTATTAATTAATATGAATTATAAATAATACTATATTTAATAAAAATATATATATTAGTGAATTTAAGAAGACACAAACCAATTTTTATGTTAATCAGTATTATTCTTTTTATTACAGCTTCGATACCTAAATGCGGAGGATGTCAAAAGGCAATTCTTGATAGATATGTTCTTCGAGTAATGGATAGGTGCTGGCATGCCGGTTGTCTTACTTGCCGGGATTGCGGTGTTAGACTATCAGACAAATGTTATGCTCGGAATGGCCATGTATTCTGTAAAGACGACTTTTTCAAGTAAGGATCAATTTCGCTATCTCAAAAAACTTTCATTTCTTTAACACAGTTTTCTATTGTAATGGAAAAATATTAAAAATATTTTTACAAAATAAAATAAAATTTAGAATAATTTAATAACTTAAATGGTATTCTTTGTAATGAAGTTTACATCTTATCAGCATAATATTTATCAATATATTATTGATTTATAACAAAAATTACCATTTTATTCTAGTATTACTGCTTGAAACTTATATAATAAGCTTGTATCAAATAAACAATTAAAAGTGATCCGATTTTTATAGTATGTTAATCCAAAATAAGTATAGATCGTGTATTCAAAATTAAACCATATTGTTTTTAATTTTATAAAATTATTATTGGAACTGATTCTTAATTAAAAAAGGTTTTAAATGTATACGTTTTCAAAAAATGAATAAATTATTTATTAGAAAAAAATTATAAAATCTGCACCATAATTCAGAATAAAAAGATCACTTTAAACAAATATTGTCTGCACAATTGAAATTATGCAAGTTATTATTTTACCTATAACTACTAATATCGTAGTATCGTAATATGGTAAATAATAAAATTATAATATAAAACAATGACAATTTTTAATGTTAAAAAAGATACAAGAAAAATTAGTATCTCTTCCTTCTAACTTATAATGAATACAACATAAACATCGGTGGAATTACAATGATGTTTTAAATTAATAATTAATAAGACTGAAAAGCGGATTTAAAACATAAAGATGTAAGGTGAATCTTTAGGTATTTACGAAAATTATATACTGCGATGTCAGTGCACGAGTGAATAAAATATGAATATTTTGTTTGCTGTTGGTGTGGCAGGCGTTTCGGCACAAAGTGTGCTGGCTGCGGCCAGGGTTTGGCGCCTTCACAGGTCGTGCGTCGGGCGCAGGATTTGGTCTACCATCTCACATGCTTCTTGTGCACTATGTGCTCAAGGCAACTTGATACCGGGGACGAATTCTATCTCATGGAAGATGGCAAACTCGTCTGCAAACCCGATTATGAGCAAGCTAAAGCTAAAGGTAAATTACTATTTACAAATCACTGATTTAGTCTTCATTATTATTATTTATATTGTAATATTATAAATAAAAGGAAGTGTTAATATTAAGTGTAAGTTATAATTAAACAAAATCAAATGCTCTTAAATTTAAAGTTTTTTATAATCTGTTTGGGTTTATACAATTTTTGTTAAATAGTTTAATATATATTAATCTTTATCGATTTATAAACAACGTTCCTTTAATGTTTTGTTCAATTTTATATTATAAATAATTTTTATATAGAACTTGCAGATGGTGGAAGTATTGATGGTGACCAACCAAATAAGAGACCGAGAACAACAATTACAGCAAAACAATTGGAAACATTAAAATTAGCATACAATAATAGCCCAAAACCGGCGAGGCATGTTCGAGAGCAACTTTCACAAGATACGGGCTTGGACATGCGCGTTGTTCAAGTTTGGTTTCAGAATAGGTAAATTCTAAAAAAAAATTTTTAAATTATTTCAATGTTAAGTATTTAAAGTAAAAAGCTTCAAATTTTAATTTAAAATTAAATATCGTATTGATAGTATTCCATTATTGTAACTATTGAATCACTTATTGAATCGACATTATTTATTATACAATATTAAATTATACATTAATATGTACAAAAATAGCTATTTTTTCAAGGCCAGTAGATATTAATTTAAAAAATCATAATATTATAAAATTATAATATTTAAAAAAAATTAATGTGAAAAACAAAAATAAATTCATACACAATAAATCATTGTTATTATAGAAGAGCAAAAGAGAAAAGATTGAAAAAAGATGCTGGTAGAACACGATGGTCCCAATATTTTCGCAGTATAAAAGGTAATGCAGGTGGTCATTCTCCAAGGCATGAAAAATTACTTGATAAAGATGAGTTAAAGGTTGATTTGGATTCTTCATTTGGTCATAATGGTAAGCTATTTTAATTGATTGTATCGATTATATTTATTATAACCGATGGTTTTCATGTTTACTCTTTTTTTTTGTATTCATAAATATTGCTTATTTAGTTAAAAATAAACAACAAAGTAAAGAAAATAGCGTTATTGAGGTTCAAAAAACAACTCAATGTTTTAACTGTATTCTAGATTGCATACAAATATTAGTAAAAGCAATGAATTATAATTTGCTTAAAATCTCTAAAATAACGAATTTTTTATTAACCGAGGGAGAAAGCTGTGAAGGGAAAGCAGACAAAATTTGAAGGCAGTATTCTTCAAATATTCAAGAGATCGCTCAGCTAACTGCTCTAGGGTTGTGCCTGAGATTTCAAAAAGATTGTGTGTACATGGTTATAGTATACAGTATTTCTATTCTATTTTTTATTATAAATATATCACATTTTTTACTTTATTACAGGAATAAGCTTTAAAAGATATAATAACAATTGTAATTTATACAATGATATACGAGAGAATTTAATTAATAAAAGTTGTTTTTAATTTATGTTACGTTAAATAAAATTAACTAAAGACATTTATAAATAAAAAAATTGTTCTAATAAGATAGGTAAAATAGAAATATTTCGTAAATTATAAAAATTATATAAAAAAGAATTTGTATTTTGTGATCTTACAAATCGAATAATACAATTAATAAACAAGAACTTTTAACTTTTAACAGTGATAGTTTATTAACAAATATTCAATAATTAGTTGGATAAATGAAAATCAAATTACGCGAATGAAATTGTACATACTTTTGTATACAGTAATTAGTTTAGTTCGTTCCATGTTATGATAGCCGGTATGCTTTATCGTACGTATATTTTGTTGAAGGCAAATTGAATAGCTTTTCAATTATTTGTGTACTATCTGTATTCAAAGAGACAATGTTGTTTTTTGAAATAGCGATGTTGTTTTTTGGAAACGATGTAAAAACTTAGATTTGAAATTATTTATTAGTATACTGATGTTACGTAATTCGATGAATGCTAAATTATATTTTGATGAATTTGGAAATAAAATTTAGAAAAACTGATAATATATCATTTTATTTTAAATAAGTAGATTATATACATTACATTCAGTAATTAAATGAATTTATATTACTTTTTCGATTATAAAATAGAATTTAAACTTTACAATTACTTAATACTCGCTAAACAGAATAACAGATTTTTATATACAGATAAAAACAGATTTCGAAATAAAAAATATAAATTTATATTTATTCAGCGTAAAATAAGAGGTCATTTTTACCTTCTTATATTATCAAAATATTGGCATATTCACACTTAAAATAAATATATCTGATTTTAATCATTTTCCATTAAAATACCTCACTTTCAATGTATATGTATTAAAAATTTAAACTGTATGATAGTTTTGCTGTATCCTCAGAAATATTTTATATCGCGTAAATTTTATTGGATCAATTTAATCAGTATCTACTGTTAATAATATTATATAATTTAAATTATTAAAGTTTTGAAACTGACTACTACCTATTTACTGGAATTCCTCAACATTATAAATATATATAACTTATTTTCGTTATTAAATTGATGGGGAGTAATATTGCGTTAAAATATGATGTTTAAAAACAGTTATAAATAATAGATATTTATATTTTTTTAAAAAGATTATTTTAAGCTCGAGAATCGGTATATATATATATATATATATTATTCGAGTGAAATAAAACTTTTTATTAAAAAATTATATTAAATCTAGATTCTAAAAATTTGTATATTTACATTTAACATATTATCCATCTTTCCACAAGTTTGTGACATCTCAAATAAATATTATTAAATCGATTTCTCTAAAAACCCAATAACTATAAAAATAGATGGCATTAATTTTAATTTGGTTTTTAAAAAAATGGTAATGTTTTTACAGAAATTTGTCGATTAATTATTTCATCTATTACAAAAAACGTCTTAAAGTAAAATATTTGTTTATAAATAATATAATGTTTATGTTTCATTTAATATAACTCTAATCATTTAATCATTTTAATTTGTATAAAGCATTTTTCAAAAAGATCTAAATAATATTTGAATTCGTGTGCATTTAAAAAATAATCACCTGTGTACAAACACCGAAACTATTGTTTGAGGTTCTAATACAAGGTTTAAGATAATGTTAATATTTTCGTATAGATTTAAGCAATGACAGTTATGGAACAGTTGTAAATATGGGCCTTGATGGCGAAGGATCAAGTCCAAGTGGTGGAGGCGGTGGGGGTATTGGTCCACCGCGCACTTATCTCGGTGCGACTACACCTCCATATTTATCCACGTCCAGATCGCCATCTTTGCCACCTCAGTTTCCTTATACTCCGGATGCCGGTCTGTCTGTTTATACGACACTCGGTAAGTAAGCCTTAGAGTTTATATATAAATCGTTATATATTTCTTTTATGATAAATTGAATTATAGTCATGCATTTGTGATTGACATACAATTTTAATTTGTCATTACGTATTGATCTTAAATCAAAATGCTCAGAAATCAATTAATTACTATACATAATAATAATTATTAGTTATAATAATTATTAATTCCAATTAGATGAAACGATGGTTAATAATTATAATTAATTTTAAGTATATATCTTAGTATGTAATTAAATTAATAAAGTAAAGCAAAATGATTCTATAGTATAACTACTGTGAAAATTAATGTTTCAATCATTCATTAAAATGTTAAAAAATAATTGTTTTAATAAAAACTTTACTTGTGACTGTTTTGTTAAAGAAAAATTCATTTATTCCCATGAGTTCCTGTTTAACATAAGTTAGTTCAATCAAAATTGTGTGCTTGAAAGATAATTAAAAAATGCAATAGAAAATTAATGTAGTTAAGTTTAGATTTTGACAAAGTTCCAAAATTTATTTAATAAAATTCAATATTCAAACTTATAATCATATATAAAAATAATTATATATACATCTACAGGTAATCTTATATTTAAATGAATAGGCAATTAATGATAACATAAAATTTGTAAAAATTAAATAATTGTAATAACGTCTCAGAGTATTTTTAATTTTTAATAATACATATTCAAATCTGTATTATTGTTCTATATATTTTTTTATTAGAAAAATGTTGTAACAGAAAAACTTCATAACGTATTCAAATTGAAAATTTTATTAAACTGGGTATAGAAGATCTTTAACAATTGAACACAGTAAAAATGCAATGGTAATACTGAATAACATTCAAAGAAAATTAAAAATAATGAATCAATACCACTATTTATTATAGGGTTTGTTACTACGTTAGAGTGCTTAAATTAAGACTAATGTTAATGCAGTATATATATTTATTGTAATATAATTTATATATTTAACTAGTAAAAATGTTTTTTATAAGATTTTGTTTCAATAATTTAGGCATCACATACAATCCATGTTCGTTGATGTGATTTTTTACCTGAATTGTACTTGCAATAAAAAATAAAATATTTGATCCTACTTTGTACGAGATTTTTTGAAACAATAAAATTACTTTTATTTGTAAAACAAATTAAAATTATTTTCTGTACTATTTTAAAATTTTATTTATTATATTTTGTTTATGATATGAACTATCTTTAAATACATAGTTTTTTGCAATTTACCAAGTAAATAGTGTTTAGCTGATCCCTTAGCTTCTAAATCTAATAAAAATATTAAAATAGACGAAACACCATAAATTATCAATAATTCTATTTAAAAATAATAGTTAAAATTTAAAGTAAATGGATGAATAATTATTGCCCGTTGTTTGTAGCCAGTAAAAAAGTAGTTTGAGAAAAACGCATTTAAATTTTCAGAAATGCTCAGAGTATATACCAGAGTGCCTCTATTCAATAAAAAATACAAGGTAAAAAATTTTCCGTCACGATAATCGATATTGTAGAACATATTAAAGAACTTTGCGATTCTTCAACCAAAAAACTCGATTTGTTAAAGTTCTTAAACTGGTATCATTTTTTAAATAAAGCAAACGTAGAAAAATGTCTAAGTATAGTTTGAACTGAAAACTAATAAAATAATATGACTTTACTTTGATAGGTGGTCCCGCCGGAATAGTGGCAGGAACAACTTCGGATTTAAGTAATGAGTCAAGCGGGGTTGGAGGTCCAGGCATTGGAGGTGCTGTTGGTTATCCTGATTTTCCACCTTCACCAGACTCGTGGTTAGGCGAACCGTCCATGCACCCGCATTCGCACCATTCCCACCTTTCGCACTACACCACATAGCCCAGCAAAACCATAATATTTCAGCAAACACACCACGAAATCTTGCCTTGGCTTTGACGATTGTGTAAATGTTTGGAAGATCAAAACTGTTATATCTATTCTCTAAACCTGTTCTAAATTCCTGGGCCCAAACCTCTATATTAACAATGATCTTTCTCTCAAGAAGAGATTTATAATAAAACAAAATATATATGCCACTATCATTTATTCGTTATGTAATTTTATTTTATAACAAATTAATACATCAACTACATTATAAAGTTGTAAACATTTACTGATTAAAAATATAGTACTTCTTGTTTGAAGTAAATTATTAATCTATTTCATCTATATATTTTCCTATTGGATTAAAACAAGATTTTATAAATCTGTAATTGGTTGAAATTATAGTGATTTTATATGTAATTATAATTTTTCATTAAAAATAAATTACAAATGAATTTACCTTTCCAACATTTAATCATTTATTGATAATTAGTAAATAAAATTCTTTAATTGCACAGTTTCAACATTACACAAGTTTCGAATAGTACTTTCGTCTCATATAAGTATGTACATTCAATTTTATGGCTGTGGTGCTTCCTTGTACAAAATATTTATATGATTAGAATATGTATCCCCATAAACGTATAAGCAATAAAATTACTTGTTGCTTAAACTAGAAATCATTCTTTTTCTAATGTATATGAGATTAGATTATACAATATGTAATTTAATTACTTGTATATATTGCGATGATATATTAGAATGAATTACATATGAAAATATTTAATTGACTATTTGTAAGTGAAAGTTATATATACATTTGAAAAAATAATAAAAAACAAGATTCCATTGAAAAATACTATTTTGACTGTCATACCTAAGAGTGCCCACTTACAATAAATAAAAAAATTAATTTAATCAAATATATTTTCGAATTTCGGAAATAAGTATCTTACTTAGACTACATATTCCTCATTTTTCATTGTCAATATGTACAATTTTTAAAAATACATATTTCGAGTAAATTTTATGCATTGATATAAACAAATCATATGTCAACAAATGATATGAATGCTACAGTAAAAATTAATTTTTTTCCTATAATAGTTGAAATAAAGAAGCACGAATATACAAAAATCAGCAAGTCAAGTAGTCAAATAATTTGATACCATCCTATATATTGACTTTGCTACTATATTACATCTATTAAATAATTAAATATATGAGTTGTGAATTAACTTTCTTTTTTAACAATTAAGGATACACACAAACTGTTTATCGATAATATGCATTATCATTAGCTATTAATATTATGAACAATATAAAATTATAATTATATATATATACTGTTTAGATGAACTATTATTAGATATACTTCTATTTATATAGATAATTCCTGTCAGATTACAATTTTTCAAATCATAGTATTTTACAATTTTTACATATTTATTTATAAATTTACTTATATTTCTTTACGAACTATATATTTATAAATAAATTTGATTTAGATACATAAATTTCAATTCAATTAACTGCTTTATCATTATAAATTAAATATATTTAAACTGTTAATTTTTTTTATCATTATCGTACAGTAATTAATAACATACTATGTCAATTATATTAGAAATTTTAAATATCGTTTTTAAATACTTCAACATATTTAAGTTACTACATGACTACGAAAGTTAAAAATTATATAGATATAACGTATCTAAATATTAAATAATATAAAATATCTAAAATTTAAAAAAAAATGCAATAAAAGTATATTCTTAATGATTTTATATTTAATAACAAGTTATGTTAAAATAGGAAATATACGTTATAATTATCAAAAAAAGAAGATATTTTTCTGTTTTAAATACATTCTGTTGAATGCATTGTCAATTAATCAACTAATTATGATAAAATTTTATTTTAATTATATTATTTATAAATTACTTTTATTTTTTAATACTATTTAGATTAGATATAGTATGAAAAACTTCAAACTATATTGAAATATTAAAAATACAAAAAACAATAATTGCATTGTAATGTATGTTACATGAAAAATGTAATATGCATACAAATTAAACTAAAATTATTAAAGAAAAAATATATATATTCAAAAGATATTTAGAGATTTGAGTACTTTGGTCAAACAATCGAAATGTTTATTGCAATAGATATAAAAATAAGTGTGTAAATAAATTGCTTTATTCGTGTCCTTATCGATATATTGGTATTTTAAATTCGCCCTATTTAATATTTATAACGTTAAACATTATATATTTTATAACTTTATAACTTTATAACTTTTACCATATATTTAAAAGGTAAATTATCTATTTTCCAAACTTTTTAAGTATACTTTTTATAATCATAATACTAAATTATATAATACTTTTCAAATTTGGTTATTTAAAGCAATATAATAATTCTATGACTATACTGTGTATCCTTATTATCAAACTTTACCGAAATTGATCCTTTTCTAAAATAATTTACATTATTTTAATTTAAAACGAACTTTGTTTCTATAAATTTTACATACAAAATACAAAAATTACGCCAAATTATAAATATTCCGCACCCAATAAAAACTGTTATATAAATATATAAAATTTCAAAATACATAATAAAATTTTCTATAAAATATTTTTGTATATTTATGTATATATGGAATATTTCCTTAAAAAATAAAGAGAAAATTAAAAATATAGTATAAAAGTGAACAACAATTTATTACTTATTTATGTACAAATGTATTTTTATGAATTGTTTATTGTATACAAAATTATATATAAATTGGGAATACATTTATATAAAGTCATTTAAGGAGCAACCACATATAAGATAAATAAATTAATATATGTAAAAAAGCATATTGGCAAAATGTAAAAAGAAGGAATAACTCAAAATTTATATCATAGTATAATTGTAATTTCTTATATTATGATATCTATACTCACATAATTTTTCAAGTTTTTCTATTTATATTATTTTATAATTATTTATTCTGTTTTTTACTTAACATAAAAAAATTTCGTTATTTTATAAAAATAAAACTATATATTATCAAATTGAATTATAATGAAATTGTATACGAAATTTATTCACTTTACAATTATATAAAAAAATATTCAATTTATACCATAAATTGAAAAAAGACACATTAAAATAATGAGATTTATAACAAGTACAATAAGTAATTAAAAATGAACGATAATACTAAAACAAATATTTTAAACAGAAACTTCATTTATCGTACATGCAGAACAAGTATAGACTAAGATCTTTTTCGTATTTTAAATATCATTTTTTGCGATACATATCCTCATAATTCCTTGTTTTTTTAAGAATACTTTTTGTGATCATAAGTTGTTTTGTGATTGCTTTCTCAACATTTTTTTTGTTTTTATTTGACGCAGACAAATGTTGAAATGTATCTTCGAGTGCCCTTCTTGTTTTTATTAATCTTTTTTTTAATACAACGTTTTCTTGTTTTAACGTTTGAACTTCAAGATCTACAAGAGAAAATCATTTTTTGAAAATATTTTTTCAATCAAATTAATTTATTAAAAATTCATATTATAAAATGATAAATGATATAATTGTATACTTATAAATTATATAGATTTCTATGTAATTATATAGGTTATTTTATAATAAATAATGACTTAATTTAAGAAATAATTTAGTTTGAAAAATAAAGTAACAATTCAAAAGATGTACATGAACATTTTTAAAAATTGTTAAAAAATTATAAAAAAGTACTGCAATCATACTACCATAAACTACTGAATTATTTATAAATACAAATTAAACAAATGTGTTAAATATAATATCTATATATTATATCTATATCAATTTTAAATAATAAAATTAATTTTAATTTATAATAGAATATAAGTTCAACTTTAAGTAAAAATAAAATAATTATAAGATTAGCTTGTAACAAATAAACTAATTTTTTGAAAGTTAATATTTTTGCATAATTCACCTTCTATATTTAGTAAGTTACTACCATCAATGCTTTGAAATTTCTCAATGTTATAATTTTCATCATCGCTGAGCAAATTGGTCATAGATTCGGTAATTTTTAAAGTATCTTTAAACGGTCTTATCGATGTTACTATTGCGTCACTCTCAATACCTAAATCTGGAGAGCAGCTTGATTTATTCAAGTCACTGAATGTTGTATAAGGTACTGGTAACCAATAATGAGATTTCTTTACAATAAATAAAGTACATATTAAAGTAGACAATTAAAAAAAGGATAAAATACTTATATGTAATAATTTATTTTATACACCTTATGAGTATTATATTCATGAATATCTTCACATATTTGTTTCGTTGAAATATTAAATGGAAAAGATGAAATACCACTTGAACTTGGTGTAGAATCACTAGTTTCACAGACAATTACATTTCTTTGAATTTTTTTGTTAATTATTTCAAGTTCTTGTATTTTAGCTTTATACAATTCATTGATTTGGTTTAAATCTGATACCTTAATAAATTTTTAATTATCTTTAATATATCCAACACATATTACTTTCTTTATATTTAAATTGTTAAAATCATACATACTTCCTTGTAAAATTTATTTCTAAGTGTTTGAATTCTTATATCATAGCCATTTTCTGATTTTCTTATATCTTGTTCTAATCTAAGCTTTTCGTTGGTTAGTTTTGTATTTTCAACTAATATTTGACTATGATTTAAAGTAAGATGATCCAATTCTTTTGTAAGTCTTAAAATAATTGTTTTCGTTTCTTTATTTTCTTCATCTAGTTTCATTATTTTAGCTCTCAACTATTTATAAAATATATATGTAATTTTAAAATAAATAAAAAATTATATTTACAGTTACATACCACTTCATTTTCACTATTTATGGTATTATTTGCTTTTCTATCAGTATTATTTTTATATTGAAAAAGTTCAACTTTTTGATTGGAGTTTACTATAGATATATTTTCTACGTCCAAATGTTTATTTCCTAATTGTATTTTATGACTATTTTGTTTACCCTCTTTTTTAAAACTAGGGCATTTAAGAATTTCTTTAGCAATGGTGTTTTGCAATTTCTCGCAATAACCACATGCGTTTTTAATTTCAGTAAGCAACATCGATAATTTAGTTTTCTTCACCTGTGAAATCAATATATAAATTAACTAATCTAATTAAATTTATAATTTAAATGAAATAAGGCATACATCATCGAATATATTTTTTATCATTCCGTTTCTTAAGACATTTAATTCAGAGTATAAAAAGTTGTTTTTTTCATTAACATCACTCTGATAAATTCCATGACATGTGTAGTAATTTATAGAGTTTCCAGAGTCACTGAAAGTTTCTAAGAACTTGCAAGAAATTGGTTTATCTATAAATTTCTTCTCGATATTCAATAGATCCATTTTCGCTAATAATACCATTTTATCTGATTTAGAAAAAGTCTCTGAATTTGATGTAGTTAAAAATTGAGGTCGATATTCTATAAAATTATCAGATTCGCCCATTCTATCTGTTCGAACAATTCTATCAACCTTGTCAAAGTTTGCACCATTATTCGATTCATTAAATATTATTCCTTCAAAAGTATTCATGAAATTGTCTGAAAAAGTCTTGGAATTTATAAGCACATCGAATACAATCTTTTGTCTACTATTTACAATATCAATTGTTTGGTCGGTACTCTTCAACATATCATTCATAAATTTAACAAGTTTTTTTAATTGAGATTTTAAAACATAATAGTGTTTATTCCCATTACCTATAGAATTGCAAATTTCATTATCTATTTTATTAATAGGTTTTGAAATAAACTTCAACCATTTCAAATAATCGACTTCTTTTTCTAATTCATTTTTTTGGATAACAAGTTTATGTATATAATTAGTTATTGTTAAAACATTCTTAGATTTATCAGAATTAATATAATTAAGTTGTATAATATCATTCATTAATGAAACTTGAATACCGATATTATTTAATTCTTTTATGAGAGCATTTAATTGATATATAGCACTATATTCAGTAATATCTGACTTATTCATAATTTTTCCTAGATATCGAAATGATGTTATATGGTTATGTAATTTAGCAATCTCCTTATTTTTACTCCATAATTCAGTATTTACTAGTTGTTGTAAATTTTGCGTTTTTATTAGCAATTCTTTAGTTAAATGATCAATCTGATTTTTTCTTTCTTCAAGTTCCAAATTTTTTTCAATTAATTCTTTTCGAAGATCATCTATATTAATTAAATCTTTTGATTTTTCATTTATTCGATTACAGATTTCTTTTAATTTGTACAACTCTTCATTCTGGGTTTGTAATTGATCTTTTATAAAATTCTTTTCATACTGAAGACTTTCAATTTTTAGATCTTTATCTTGTAATCTATCAAGTAATTCCTGAAATTTAATCAATATTTGTTAGAATTAATATAGCTGTACTAATTCTAATAATATTTTAAATAGTTTTAAAGCTTATTAATTTACATTATCTATTTATATTTTAATATAAGTGTATATTCCTTAATACATCATTTTAATTAAAATTTTTCAAATTTTAGTTACTTTAGAATTTTAAATAGAAATTGTAAAATTACTTAATATGCATATCTTAGGTGATCGAACTAACAAAAATTATTTAATATTAAATAATAATAAATCATTTTTTAAATTTCAAATGAAACCAAAAGAATAGTTATATGACAACTTTTAGAAAACTATTCTAATTTTTTCTTACTATTTTGCCATTATTTTAAAACAAAAAATTTTTTTCTATCATAAATATTAATTATTCTTAACTTTAATGTTCTATACTTTTAATTTTAGTTCTTTATTCTTACGTCAGTTTCAATTTGTATCCTTTTTTCTAATATATTTTTCCCTGCTTTCATTGCTGCAATTTGGTTTTGGAGATCATTGATTTTGCTTTCCATTTCCTCAAATCGTTGCTGCACACACAAATTGTTGTCCAAGCATCAGTAAAACACAAACACATAATTTGTTATAAAGTATTTTATTCAAAAGCAGTGATAATTTACAAGTGTATAATTTTTAAATCTAAAAGTTATCACAATAAAGCGACGATAAAAACATCTAAAATACAAAAGCATACAGAAAAACTTAAACATATCAAGTATGGCTGAAATTAAAATCAAAACATATAATGCTTGAAGTTGTAAAGATTTAACAATTTTATTAAGTTTTCGCTTTCTTTTGCCAACATCTCGGAGGTACAAGAGTAACAATGATTGGATCCTAAAAAAAATGAGACCGTATAAGTATTTTTCGGCGGTAAAAATAATGCTATTTTTAATAGAATATAAATTAAATTAGATAATTTAAATAGAAACAAATATTCAATATAAACAGTGCAAGAGTCTGATAATAAAATATATAAAATCCGGTTCACTTCATCAATTTAATTATCGTAAGAAATATATTTTTGTTCATTTTTTTTAAAGCGAATTTATTAAAGTCTAATATAATATACTTTATTCCCGTTTTTCATTTTTATTTATAAAAATATCAACTAAATATTAATAAATTATGAAATAATAAATTATAAATGAATATATTTTAGAAAAATAATAGACTATTTTTAAATAAATAGTTCATTATCAAGTTCTTTACGGTCATTTAATTCTATCAAAACATCTCTTATATTTATTATGATTTTCACATACTATTAAAAACAAATGTATTTTAATTTAATATTTGTATATATTTATCAAATTAATGTATTAATATATGCGCGCGCGCATTGTGTGCATGAGTATGTATATCAAACAAATTTTAATTAATGAGAATAGCAAATCAGTAAGATATAGCATACAACATACCTTCATTCTCTCGAAAGCATACAAGCAGGTAAAATCATCATTGGTTTTTCTACTGTTCAGTAATTAACAGGTAACTTATTACTTAACTGAATACAAAATATCAGTCTTAGTATTATTATATGCGAATTTTCATAAAAAAAATGAAAAAATTATGTAGTTTTTCTTCTCTATCATAATCAGTTATTAACCACAGCGCGATGACCTTTAAAATATTGATAAATATCTAATATGCAAAAATAAAGTGTAGAGGACTCCATAATATAATTTCATATCATGTTTGGAAAGTTGATTATTAATTAATTGATTATTAATTAATATATTGCCGATGTAATCATTCATATTACAACCTTAAAATATTGAATCATTCAGTTTTGCAAATAGTTAAGTAATTTATGTGTATGCATTCATTGCTGACATAAACTCGAAGTTTCGTTGCTATCTTGTAATTAATTTACATGAAAAAAAGGTAAAAACAACATAGTTTAATTATAAAATCATTACGACACCAAAGAATAAACGCTTCTTTACTATTATTAGTATAGGTGAATTTTGTTATGCAAATAGACATCCACACCACAATATATAAATACAATAAAGATTATCAAATATAAATTATATGTGTAGACTTATTGTATACGGAGAATTATTTAAAAAATTATTTGTACATATTCTTTGAATATCTTGTTCAAATAAAATTATTCAACAAAGTATATATTTATAAAATAAACCAAATAACTTATATAAAATAACTTAATTTTGATAATGAAATTTCACATTTTTATTTTATGATAGTATGTATTGAAAAGTATTTAAGATGCATTTCCGTATTGTATAAATATTTATGTTAAGTAGATTAATAAATATTGAACATAAATAAATTCAGTTATAAAACAAAAATTAATTTATACGATTTAACATCATAAGAAATCTTAGGTTTTCAGTTAAAAGCAAAATCATGTTTAAAATAATTTGTAATTTTTTTATTTTCATTCATATTGTTTGAATTCATAATTGTTTGAATAATATTAATTTTTTCGTATTTGAGTCTTAAAACAATAAAAAAAAATTAATGAAAAGATAGATAACTCTGTTTTCCGCAATTAACACCATTACTTTTAAGTACAAAATAGAATTGTGATGATGCAAGGTACAATGGAAAGAAAACACGCAGAAAAAAATACTATTTAGCTGGTCTGGAATGAAGAAAGGAAAGAAACATAAACTTCACTTTTATGTGATAGCATGTAAACTAATTGCAACCATACTAATTTCCAAAATACGTTCAAGAGTAGAATTTCATTTTATAATATTTGAAAGTGTTTCTATCATCAGCTTATAAATAAGTGATTAATACCTGCGTATTGTGATCACGTTCGGGACCATCTATTAGTTCATTGCTAGAATTTTTTCGCATTGAAGTACTGATACTGCTTCTACCAGCCTTTGTATTTTCATTTTGTAATCTGCTAACTTCAACTTCTAAGTCCATGATTCTCCTATCTTTTTTGGCTTGTTTATCTTCGAGTTGTTCATGACGTTTTAGAAAGCCTTGAATCATTTGAATTGCTTTCTTGTGGTCAATTTCTAATTTCTTTAATTTCTGATCGGTTACATCAGCAGATTGCTGAACGCTGTAAAGCTTCAGCATTAACTGTTTCTTTGTTTCTTCTTTTTTTTTAATATCTCGATCCCTATCATCTAATTCCTAGATTTAAAATGTTCATATATTAAAAAAATTGTTTATAAATAGTCTTTAATTTAAACATATTTCAAATTAACTTTTTTTAACTCTTGAATGTCTTTTTTATCAAAACCATTGTTGAAATCACAGCTACCTCTAGTTCGTTCTATGCTAGGTTTCAAATCTGATGAACTATAAAAACTCTTTGTAGGACTGTTCAAGCTACATATCCTTCTAAAGTTTTGTGACTCTTCCATAAATGTTGATTGACTATCAGATGACAAACTCCTCTTTGTGGAATTATTTTCAAACTAAAGAAAGAGTTTATAATTAGTTATCAAACATTAATAATTAAAAAGTTTAGATAGTTACGTTTTATATTCTACCTGGGATAGAAGAGAGCGATTTTTACTGTTCAAATCTGTGAGAGCATCATCTCTTGATTTGATAGATAATCTTAATTGATCTATTTGTTTTTTTCGTTTCTCAGCTACTTCAGAAACTTCGTCATAAGCTTTACTTTTTTCTTCGAGCGAAACACTTTTCTGATCGATTATTTTATTCTTTTCTATAATTTCTTTTTTAAATTGTTGTAATAAATTCTCTGTCTTGAAAGCTTGCTCTTCTAATACTTTTAATTTTTCACTTAAAACTTCCATTTCACGATCTCTCTTTAATGATAACTTTTCTTTACATAGGATTTTTGACTCTAAACGATTTTTCAATTGATCTCTTTCATTCTCCAACTCTTGCGCCCAGTTTCTCTCCTCTTCTAAACTAGCTGATAGTTGTTTTAACTATAAAATAAAAAATGTCTTTATTTTTAGCCTTGTATAATATCCATATTTAAGCCTAACAAAATTAAATAATATTTTTACTTCAGATTCTAGAGAAGATTTAATCTCTTCTACTTTGTGTAATTTTTCTTCGTATTCCAAAGCTTTTTCTGGTGTAATTCCGAAAGTTTCTTCATAATAAGTGATATCGGTCAATTTTAATCTATTATCTTCAAGTTCTTATTTAAAATAAAAAAGTATACATATAAAATCTTAGAGGAAATTAAATTAAAATGATAATTTAGGTAAATGATCATATCACCTTTTTCAAGTTTATTTACTCTTTCTCGTTCTTGTTCAAGAGTCTGTTGATACTGAGTTTCATTTCGAGCATATACTTGTTTCTGCTCTTCAATAAGCTCGATGGCTTTTGCTGCTTGACTAAGAAGTTCCTGCTTCTCAATAAGTTCTTTTTTTAAAGATTCATTTTCAACCTAAACATAATTAAAATAGTTGTATTTTGATTTCTACTATTTTAAGACTACTAGAACTAAAACTGCCATAAACACAACTACGATCATAACCATAAACACGACTAGAACCATAACCATAACCACTACCACTATCAATAATATAACCTTTCTTCATATTAATGATATTACAAATCTTAATTTTATATATTCAAGAAGATCATTACATTATATAATATGAAGTATGCTTGACAAAAGAAACTCACCTTAAGTTCAATATTTTTTTTAATAGCATCTTCGTCAGCAGAGGTTATCCCCATGCGTTCTTCAAGAAAGTAAATTCGTAACTTCAAATTAAAATTTTCTTTTTTGAGGATTCCCAGATGATCCTCGCATTCCTTCATTGTTCTGCCGGGTCCTCCAATGCCTTGACTACTCATAATTCCTAGTGGAGATGTCTTGCCCGGTGTTTTAAGACTGGCACCTTAACAGCCAATTTTTGTAAAAATAATTTAAGCAAATAAAAATAATTCATAACAATGTGATTATTTTTTTATTTATTTTTAGTAATAATTTTACTTAATTACATTTTAAAAATATCTAAATATAAAACATAAATTATATTACGTTAATTACAAATTAAATTTTGTGTAAAAACGATTTATAATTTGTCTTCTAATATTATAAATTCATCTTTTCAATATAAAAAAAGAAAAAACACATTTAGATAAATTATCTATAATTGCAATCTGAACGTATCCTCAATTGAATGATTAAAATACTTGCGAACCATTAAAAATTTCATATATGTTATAAATTTATTATTATTTAGCAAGTTATATCATGTTTTTTATTGCGCTATCGAAGAAAATCAATAAACTAAAATACAATTTTTATTTTTCATAATTAATAATACAAGATCACTATAATTACTTAAAATAATAAAAATAATTAATTCATTTTCTTTTAGATTTACAGAGCATAGAAATGTAATATATCATACAATTAAAACAAAAATAGAAATATTTATAATTTATCCAGTAAAAGATTTCAATTTTTTCAATCATAGATATTTTTTTTGTATTAATTATATTAAGTTAAGTGTTAAAACATGATGATTATTATTATAAAATGAGATATTTATATTCCTTAATACAGCAAAAAATTAATATTCACAAGCATGCAATTTAACAGCGCGAAAATATCAAAGGAAAAATTGAATAATGAAAGCAGAAACAAAATAAAGTAGTAATAAAAACTTAATAAATTAATAAGAATAAATTTAATAATCACATACTATATTATATTACTTTATGAAAGGTGTGAATGGTGGAAATGAAGTTAGATAGCATAATTAAATGTAAAGGGATAAGAAGTCAGGAATAACATGAGTGAAGAAAAAAGGAAAGAAAAGAGGAAAGAAAAGAGGAAAGAAAATTAGTATATGTAATAATGATAAATAGCGAGATAAATAAAGATAGAATAAAATAAAGATAGAAGTAATAGCTTAATAATTAAGTTGGAAGAATAAAAGAAAAAATAAATGCTTAGCTGTTCGCGATTGAGAAAAATCTTTGGAATTTATTTATTGGAAAAAATTCCATCGGCTACCATTATGAGAAATATTGAACGGACATAAAATCTAAGAAAGTTTTCCCACGGTCGTTAGAGGTCGAAAAGGTTAGTATTAGTTAGTAATAGCAAGGTTAGTATACTATTATTCGTTGCACCACAAACGTAGTCATTGTTTTTAATGTAATTAATGACCCTTGCTATTTAATATTTTTAATATTTTAATATTTTGAGAGATTTAAGATATTTGAAAACAATCGAGTGAAAAACATTTCCTAAAATTCATTTCAACTCGAAACACGGCACGTGCGACATCCGGCAATCCTTATCACACGTGTGCCTTCAATGTCACTAGACAAGCATGCATTGTTGTCAAGCGACTTGCTAAATGTTGCCGCTTACATAGCCCAAGCGAATACGTTTGACCAAGAACCACCCCCCACCACGCTAAGTCCCGGAGAGGGGCAAATCTTCCTTACGAAGGCGTTGCCGCCGGAGATACTCTTTTCGATATTTTCATTGTCTAAGCCTAATTCCTTCGGAAGTGGGAAAAAGGACGTGCTCATTCATCATGCCGCCGAAAAGTGGTGCACCTTGATTGGAAAACTAAGACCAGAAGCTCCTTGAGTGGGGACTCATTGCGAGAGGCCTTAAAGGTGGGGACGACACAGCAGCAAAGGGCTGTCCGCGTGGAGAATTCGAGCAAGCTGTCCGTGTGGGCAAGCCAAGAGCTGTCTCTGTGGAAAAGTCAATTCGAAAGGGCTATCCACGTAAAGAAGCCAGGTCTGCGAGGAACTTTACTCATTGGTAACTAGTGATCAAGTATTTGCGGTAACCCACTGACTGGAAGAAGGTACATCAGCCTTGGTATACAACCGTCGACGGGAGTTGATGCTATCGCTTCATTCAGGAGAGGGCCAGACCACCACGCACGCACTCGCCTTGGTGCGTGCTTTTATGGAGAACTATTCATCCCAGCATCAGATCAAGGATACTGTATCACTGTCCGCGCGACCTACTCATTCATTACCAGTCGTAGCAAAACTGGCATGACGCTATTATTAACAATATATCACACTCTCTGATAAGGAGTGTGCAGTATTTGCTTATCTTTCTAAACCTTACGAATTCAACATCAACATCACGATCTCGAAGAGCATCTTGTGTAGTGAAACATCCATCACAAGAAACGTTTCAGGAAATCGCATCTTTACATTAGACTCAAGAAGATTCCAAAACACCAATATCTAATAAATTGTAAAATAAATCATATATTTAGCAAAACTCACGATATTTCTACAGCCCTTACACTTAACTCTTTCTCGGGCATCTGCAAAGGCGGGTGGCAAATTAAACTTATTGAAGCATTGGCAGTTCGAGCTAAGAATACTTCACTATTTTCGAACATTAGCCTATTCATACCATAGAAAGTAGAAAATGGATTAATAATGAAAAATAACAAGATTTGAAACTGGTATAGACGCGGAATCTGTCATCAAGGGAATTATTAACAAGTATAAGGCCTTTTTAAAAGAAGAGTTACATTTAAATATTTTATGTATGTAACACATGAGTTATAAAATAGGCCGTTCTCATATGTAGTCATGTACCCTTATCTGAATTGCTAATGTGAAGTGCTTAATGGTGTCGACGATGCAAAATTGGTAACTACTTTCATATCAGATTAATTGATGCTTTTTGTGGTATACTTATCACTATATATATTTATATTATTGGAACAAATATGACATGCCTGCAAGTTAGGATTGTTAAATTAAAAAAAAATTTTAATTAAATCTATAAAACAGAATCTAAAAATCACAATATAATTTCGTATAGACAAACTAAATTCCATATAAAAATATTTTCATTATAAAATCAATTTCATTATAATTTAATATGCAAAATTAAATTCAGATCTATTCGTTTATATACAATGTCACGTATAATCGAATGAAATTAATCCATTTTCAATTAATTCTATAGAATTGATAAATACAATAATTCCATATAATTTCAAAAAATATAAACTAAAGAGATTGGTTTAAAAATATAATTTACTCTTGATTTTAAAAATATTAGTTTTTTAAACTTGTACCTCTGAAGCAATGTAAGTCTATATTCTGCATCTTCATTTACTATCATTAAAAAAATATTATATATAACAGTAATAAATAAATAATAAACAAATTGTAAAAACATTCCAAATAATCCAAGGCTTATGGGTATCTGTTAGCTTCATTCATCAATATATACAATCGTTATACTAGTTTAATAAAAATTATCTATTAGTTCCATACTTTTCCCGAATTGTACAGAATCATGTAAAACTATATTATAATTTTAAATTCTTATGATTTTATTATAGGGACAAAATTCCACGTTTCGTAAACAGAATTAGGTAAAAGATTATTTTATTTGTTATATTTTCTTAATATTATATTGATTTCTCTTTGGTATTTATTTATGATTTTACTCAAAAGAATTAATGAAAAAAGATTAATTAAAATATTTTTAAAAAATGCTTTAAATATGCATGATATTTATTTAAGTTTAGTTTTTAGATTTCATAGTTTATCATTTAATATCATTATTTATAAATATACAGATTTAGAATGAATTGAAATTTTTATTTACATTCCTAGCTAATGTAATGAAATAATGAACAAAAAAATAAAAAATTATGATTATAATAAATATAATTTTTAATAAATGTAATATGTGCATCTTAAATATTTTTATTAAAACAAAGTTTTACTGAAAATTGTACATATTCAAATAAAAAGTTATTGTTAACAATATTTAAAATTCACAGGTGTATTTTTATTTTAAATTTTTGCATTTGAATAGTTTGTATAATATCTATGTATGACCCTATTATATACTAATTACTAATTTTATTACTAATCGAAAACATATTTATTAAATTATAAATTTAAGAAGCGAACTAAAATTATGTGAAACACATGTGAATTTAAATTATAAGAAAATTTAACAATTTAAAACATTTTGGATTTGTTCAATAAATAATAATATAAATTTTTTTAAATATAGTATTAATTATTGTTACGGATTACAGCAGTTATAAAAGGAATACAAAGTGGGAGAGGTATGAACGCGCGAACATTTCTTTGTAAACATTCGCCAACGAACTCGAAGAATGCTTCTATGCTGAAAAAACTCGAATATACGACTATAATTCCGAAAAGTAATAACAATGAACCCTACAAGGCTATGCCTTATTGACGTCACGACAAATATCGACATAGCAACAGCCACCGGCACTATCGACGCCGCTAGTTCGTACGAGAATATTTAAGCTGCACGTGCCGCGATTCCTCCTGGCTAGTACCAATCACGCACTCTCCACATCAGGCTCGCTATCCAACCTGCAATCGCCATTATGAAGCCGTAGCAAGCATCAAGCAATCTAAAGAACTAATAGCGATGCCACATCTATACCGGCACCCACGCCTCCGTAAGCAATGCCACTACGCTCGTTCTTACATCTTACCTCTACTCATTGGCTCACGCCCGCACGTAAGATACGCCACTTTGCTCGTTTTTACGGCTTACTAAACATCGGCTCCTGTAAACACGTAAGCACCAACCACACGAACGTGCACCAATACCACGACTACATCTGATCTCACGTACACAAGCAGTGACGTCACACAGACGTTCTCCCACCACCTAAGGAGAAGGAGAATCACGCTCTAGGCTATCAAGAATACACTTACAGACTTATCGCCACCAACTTTAATTGAAGAAACTCATCTATTCATTGTCTCATACACTCATTTCGATATCCATAGATCATTGACTATTTATTATATTTATTATATTCAATAAAGGGAAAGACAATAAACTCTAAAGGCAGTATTGAATTATTGCATTGCCCCTTCCACTTGC